TGATTCTAAAGAACTCTGAAGTATATTCTAGTAAACGTACTATACTTTATAAAGTCAGAGAGGGGCCCTCCCTAGTGGAACAAGGAGTTAAAACACAACACTGTGAAGCTACTGGCAGCCGTTGCAGCATGAGTTCAATCCCTGGTGACCCACATGGAGAGGCAGACCTCCCCAGTCTCACCCACTGCTCCCCTCAGCAGTGTATTTCAGTTAGTCTGCCCTTTCTGTTCCCCACTCTGTCTCTGGTGAATCCTCTCACCCCTGCACATCTGGCTTGTACCCAGTTCTTATATGCATAAATAAAAGAAAAATCTTTAAATTAATAAAGTCAGAGAAAAACCAGCATTTTCAGGAAACCAAAACAAAATCAAAATAACTTAAAAGGGCAAAGTGGTTATGATGTCATTAGATTTATCAAAAGCAAAGAAATAAGTAAGAAAAACCCAGATGATTTCACCTAAATCTCTGCATACCATATATTCTCATCTAGATTGTTTCTGAGATTAAAAAACAAAGGAGACATCAGCATTCTTTTAATGAAAAAATATAATACTGATATGTACATCTGATAAATATAGCACAAAACGTAAAATTAGCTTAGCATCCTTTATGAACATTGTAGTAGGCAGATTCCTAAATGATCCCTAATCACCAATGCTTCCTGGTTTACACCCTTGTATAATCTTTAACTCTTGAATATGGATTGGACCTAGTGACTCCAGCCTAACAAACAGCATACAGCAGAAGAGAGGGCTTGCCACTTGCAAGATTAGGGCACAAAAAGCTATGAGTATCCTTCTGGTATATTCTCTTTCTTCTTTCTCTCAGATCCTCACTTAGGGAAAAGCCAATTTCCGAGCTATAAGTAACCCTGGAAACACAGGTGTCCAGAAATTCAGTATCTCCCTCTAACAGTCAATGAGCTTCTGAGCCTGTCAACAGCCACCTGAGAGAGCTCAGAGCCAGATCTCACCTCAGTTAGGTCTTGACTGACTTCTTGATTACAGCCTCATAAATACCCTAAGCCAAAGGCATTTAGCCAGGCCATATGTGGAGTTCTGATCCCTAAAAATAATAAATGTTGGTGTTCTGTCTCATTATAAACGAAAACAATAAACATGTATGTTCTGAAGTGTTAATTTTTGGTGTGACTTAGTACACAACAAAAGAAGATACAGGTGTCAGGCCCTCCCTGGTGGCACAACATTTTAAGGCACAGCACTGTGGAGCTATCTGCAACCACTGCAGCTTGAGTTTGATCCCCGCCCCAGAGGTGACCCACATGGCGCAGCAGACTTCTCCTGTCTCACTCTCTGCTCCCCTCAGCAATGTGCTTTGTCAGTCTGCCTGTTTTGCTACCTACTCTGTCTCTGGTGACTCCTCTCACCACCCCTGCACCTCTGGCCTGTACCCCAATTCTGTAAGCATAATAAATATATCTTTAAAAAAAAAAAAAAGATGATACAAATACCAAAACCAAAATCCTAAACAAAATCATTATCACATAAATTTCAACACAGCCTTAAGAAAATCATACACCAAGGAAAAGGTACAAAATGAGGGCAGGAAGACCCAAGGGACTAAGATGATGGTGCAGGTGAATTCAATGGGAACTACACCTGATGTAAAATATAAAGAAATTGAGTTAAAAAATGAGTTTGAAAAAAATCATTATCAATGACCCATCATTATCAATATCAGTTTCTACTTCAACTGATATTAAAATGCACTTAATATCACTGATCATTTTAATAGGTCTAGACTAAAGAAAACAACCATTTTTCTCCTTAGATGCTGTAAAACCCTTCTATAAAATTCAGAACCTGAAACTCTTGAAAAAATATACAATGAAAGGCTAAATCCTCAGTATGAGACTATAGATATATGTGAATCTAAAGCCGTCATCAGATTCAATTTTTTAAAATGATTTCCAGTCAATTGTGCACCAACCTGACAGAAGCTATGCAACGTCTATCGTCTGACAGATTCCGGGTAAATCGGGAAAAGCTCTGAAAAATCGGACTTTCTACTGTTAGCTTATGTTATGACCTCCCTTTTTTGTATAATTGTAATATCAAAATATTCTGAGCAACTTTCAGCTTACAATTGGACTGCCTCAGCCGCACAAGGCCTGCCTGCCTTGACAAGCAAACACTGCACCAGGGTGAAAAAGTTCCCCTGAAGTCAAGTGACTTGAGGACTGACTGATAAAAAGCAAAAGGGATGTTTTTGCAAAGTCTCTCTTACTGCTGGATGGAGGATAACCCAAATCTTATCATTCTATTATCTCACCTAGCCTTCTATTCAGCCTTTTAAAGAATTACTCAAACTTCCTATTGTTTGGCCTTTAGATGTGCAAATTCATCCAGGTTGCCTGTTTTTAAGTTTTCCGCCTGCTACAACTTAAAGGAATCTTGCTAGTTTTTCGGGATTCTACTATGTAGTCTTTAGATAAAAAAAATTCACCTATGTCTCCTATTCAGAGATTTGATTAGCAAGGAATTTCCTCTTCTGTCTCCCAGGATGATTCAGGCAGAAAAACAAAAACCCATTAAGTAGTAGATAAGGTTTAAGGGACTTCTATCTTAGTTAATCTCCACTATAGTAATATTAGTCATAAACTATGTACCTGTTTTTTACCTTGATTGATTTTAGAATGTTGTAATCTCAAGCAAGGATCAAAACAACCCCAAACTGTTCTTAGAAAAAAAGATGATTGTAATCTCTCAGCCCAGTTCCTGTGCTGATATCATCCCACTACTTACTCCTAATGTATAAAAATAAACCTCTGCTGAAGGCAGAGCAGGAAGATTTGCACCCAACTCCAACTCCCATGTCTTCCTCGCTCCCACTCTCCAATTTTTAGAATATCGCCTCGCCGACGTCGTTCCCACCTTGAGACTCTGCCTGTGACAGCCTCTCTACAACCTGAAATCGGGGCTGGTCCACGACACCAACCGGATGGTAAAATGTGATAAGTGACATTACTAGAAGACTGAAACAAACATAAACCCCGAGACGTATAAATTTCTTGAATGCAGTGCCTAGCAAATATGAGTGTAAAACATATGTTTAATTAATGAAGACACCACATCCAGAAAAGTTGGTCAACAAATGAACATTATCTTCACTGGAAGCTGCTCTATAAATACATGGAATATCACAAGTGATAGCTAGTTGAGGGCAGTACTCTCAGACATACTATAGGCAATAAAAAGAAATACTTTATTAGGTCCTAGGAAACAGGGCATGTCCTTCATTTAGACAACAAATCAAGTCAAATAAGCAGTATTAAAAACTACTCTCATTACTTTTTGTGAGATGTTTCCTTCTGTTCTAAACACTAACTGTATTGAAGCACTGATCAGGAATGAATATAATGGATAATGCAACAATCTAAAAAAAATATTATAAAGATGAACAACAGGGGCTCTCCCTGGTGGAGCAAAGAGTTAAAGAACCGCATTATGAAGCTCTCAGAAGCCACTGCAGCACAGCACGAGTTGATCCCAGCCAGGGAGCTGACCAACATGGCATGGCAGACCACTCCTGACCTGCCCGCTGCTCCCCTCAGCAGTGTACTTTGTCAATCTGCCTGTTCTGGTCCCCACTCTGTCTATGGTGAATCCTCTCACCCAACACACCTCTGGCCTGTACCCGATTTCTGTAAGCATAAATAAATAAATCTTTAAAAAAAAAATAGATGAACACCAGACTCTATGACAGAACATGCACTTTCTCCAGATGATCTTTAAAGTTTTAATCTGCACTTACTTTTATGTAGAGATGTTTTTAAGCATTACATTGCATATGGCTTAGAATTCTTTAATATATAAACTATATATTTAACTACATTTTATACTTATATATTACATAAATGATAGAATTAAAGAATTAAATTCTATGTTTCACAAGTAATTGTATTTCAGGCTAAAGTAATGAAAGTACTTAAGCCTTTCACACACACCTTATTTTATATTATTATACAATCCAAAAAGCCAATCATGAGGACTACCTCCTCACGCAGCATGGTAATGCAATCTGCATTGATGACAGCAGAGGGCACTGTCGGATGAAACAGTCATTTCTCACAGTATTCAAGAACCTTCACCAATCAGGAAATACTACTGGTAGTTTGCACAGAAGCTAGGATCTTTGTAATTTATTTTACACACCAAAACAATTTCAAAATCTCTATCTATATGAATATAAAGTATGTTTCAATTGATATTTGAAATCTTGAGTCATATAAAAAAGAAAAATATAAAACTTTACTACTTTTATGTGTTTACTACTGAATCTTTCCTCATTTCTTCTAATATAATGCCATTTATATTAGACATTTATTTATATAATGTAATTTACAAAAAAGGAAAATAGAAAATTGATTCTACAATATTTTTCTTAATCAGAATGGAAGTTAAAAAAAGTACTTTTCATACCATTCAGAGTAATGTTTCCCTGAGGTGGAAATGAAGAGCTGTGACTTAAAGGGATTGACTGGGGGGCTTTAGGCAACTTTTAACTAAGTGTAGTGACTGATGCTAAATAAACTTCACTGTGATCACTCCACAATATACACCAAAATCAAGTCATTCTGTTGTACACTTGCAATTAATATTATAGATCAATTATACATCAACTAGAAAAGAAAATCTCTTTTAAATCATTAAGAGGACAAGTACAGCAGCCCCTCTTCATTCTCATTTTATTTCCTACTTGTTTAGTTTCTTTGCATAATTCTGTTAGATCTTAACTTTAATGTATTTCCTTGGATTCCCTCTCAATATCCTGGTAACTTTTTGAAACGCATAGTAACAAAGTAATGGTAGAGTTATTACATAACTGGCTGACTAAGAAAATCCATTGTTATGCCTGACGAAGAAAGAGGTGCTAATTCATTATTCTATTTAAGATGATATAAAATATTTATATTTGGGTGAATTAATTTGAACATATTTAAGCTATATTTGTGCAGGAAACTGCAATTTTCATCCTACCTGAAATCACATGCCGTCGTAAATTCTGCTCCTCCACCCAATGCCCGACCTTGAACCAGTGCAACACTTATTAAAGGAAGTCTGAAGATTGAAGGATAAAAGAAAACTGAAAGTTAATATTTCTAATAATTAATATTTACAAACATTATTTTAAAAAACTTAATATGCAACAGAACAAAATGACTGAGCTTATTCATCATGAAGGAAAAAACAGCAGAGAAATAAAAATACAATAATTCATACTAACTGCCATGTAAATTTGTTAAAATGTCTCCCTGAATTAGAATTTTTGAATAATAACTATCGTGTGATTTTCTTCCAAATAAAGGGACCTATTACATAACCGTTAGCTCTTAAAACTTCTCAACAAGTAGCTGGTGTCAAAGACCATTTTCATTAATATCAGGTCATGGGTAGGATAATTGGACTGTCTACAAAGTGAGAAATGAGGTACAGTAAGCTACGTTCCAAAACAGTGCTCTGATGAAGGTTCTTTTCAAAAAGCTTTTCATTAGTCATTGAGATGATCCTTAGTCTAATCCTGCATAAGAGAGTGGTTTGCTGGTAAAAATAAAGCTCTTCAACTTTCCTGTTTTCAAAGCTCTACTCTGCAGGAGTGTGTGAATATTATATAGTAAAATCAAAATGTTTTGAAAACAGGGAGTATTTTTCCCATCTAACATGGAATGCAGCAGTTTAAAGTAATTGATTTCTTAACACACCCTTCTTTCAAATAAAAGGAATCGTTAAAAAACCTTAACACTTTCTGAGAAAACATCAAGTATAGAGCGAAATGAGTAGGATCTAAGGGGATGGAAACATACTTTAGAATAGCAATGTTATAATTCCATTAATCTCTAGATTCTCAGAGCTAAAGAGCATCAAAAAATATAAATGTTTCGCTAATCAATATTCTAAATACACATTTCCTTAGTTTTTATAGTTTTGAAGTTAACTACATTCAGAATATGGACAAAGGAAGGTAATCAATCCAAGAATCATCATTCATAATCTCAAATGCAAAGCAACAGACCAAGAATTTTCCCCCTTCTCTTCTTCATCTACTTGGAAAGTGAATTCATTTTCCCTGTGCGAAAGCTGCTAAGAGCCTCCTGTAAACCATAGCTATTTCTCTCTCTTCTTTAAATATGGGCCACTTCACTCTATGTCCTACTAATTTTGAATATTGGGTTAGCTGTATTTTTTGTCCTTTGATCGCTGTCTTTCTTCTGCTGTAAGAACTATAGGTAAATTTCCTCCTGGTTATACCTAAACAAACTAGTAATACAAGTTCTTTAGGGTAAAGGCTACGCCTTAAGTTCTTATCTCACTTTTTAAATATCTGTCTATATTTTACATGAATTATCCTTGATAGCACAAAGAAAGTTCATCTTTAGAACAAATATAATTTGAACATCAGCTATTACTTTTTAAGTGCAAGAAGTAAAATAGAAGGTGTTTTTTTCATCAACTGTATTTTAAAAAGAAAGAGACATTACCTCATAAGTCTTGTTAAGACGTTTTGCATGAACATACATAAGGCCATTCCATCCTTTAAATAAGCACAGACACAGAGGTATAATGTAAATGTGTTATAGGACACTTAAAACATTCAAAATCTTGAAAATGAAGCCAAATATACGCCTAACTTTTTTTTTTTTAGATTTATTTATTTATGCATACAGAACTGGGGTACAGGCCAGAGGCTCCGGGCGGTGAGAGGCTTCACCAAAGACAGAGTGGGGAGCAGAACAGGCAGATCGACGAAGTACACTGCTGAGGGGAGCAGCGGGTGGGTCAGGAGAGGTCTGCCACACCATGTGCAGTGCTTTAACCCGCTGTACCACCAGGGAGAGCCACGCCTAACTTTTTTTCTTTTTTCTTTTTTTTAAAGATTTATTTATTTGTGCATACAGAACTGGGGTACAGGCCAGAGGCTCAGCGGTGGTGAGAGGCTTCACCAGAGGCAGAGTGGGGAACAGCACAGGCAGATCGACGAAGTACACTGCTGAGCGGAGCAGCGGGCAGGTCAGGAGAGGTCTGCCATGCCATGTGGTCACCTCCGGGGCAGGCGGGAATCGAACTCATGCGGAAGCGGCTTTAGATTCTCAGTGCTGTGCTTTAACCCGCTGCGCCACCAGGAAGGGCCCATGCCTAACTTTTTTTTAAGCAAGGTTTTCATTTAAAACTCTTTGCTGTTTCCGAAATACAAATGATGTAGCATTTAATTCTGTTGCGTCATAGAGCTTCAGTTCAGCTTTCCATAAGATAATAGCAAAGATTTTGGTTTGAGAGTCAGACCACATAGCCCGGGCAGACCTCTCCTGTCTTGCCTGCTGCTCCCCTCAACAATGTATTTCAGTTGATCTGGACTGTTCTGCTCCCCACCCTGTCTCTGGTGAATCCTCTTACCACCCCTGCACCTCTGGCCTATACCCCAGTTCTGTATGTATGAATAATAAACCTTAAAAAAAAACTGAACATACCTCAGGTTGATGTCACATATTTGTGAATATAAAGAAATAAAAGTTCAGATAAAGCCAAGCCATAACAGAGCCTATACATTTGACTGTAAAGCTGAGGCTTCCTAAGGGGGAAGGTGGCCGATGGCTCCTGTGGTAGTGGGTGTGGTATGGTAACAACACCCAAAATGGGAAACCCTACATATCTAAATGATATACAATGTTGTAAACAAAAGTTACCTCAATCAAAAAAAAAATAGATTTACAAATATAATAGTAGCTACAATGATCAACATTTTTATGACTACATGATGGTTCTACTGTTTTGCTCACTCTACTTTTATTTATATTAGCTAACTTGATTTTTTAAAACTTTGGAAAAATAAAGTGACAAAATCATGAACATATGTACCTTTTTAATTTGTTTACAAAAAGTCACTTAACTTTTAAGTGCTCTAGGATAATTAGAAGGGGTTATAATCCAATTACTAAAATCATCATCTATCCTAATGATTTCATTCATCATCTTCAGAAAAGCAAATACACTAAATAATCAGATGATAGTGATACCTCTGCAATAACAAAGTGTAAGTATTAGAAAAAGAAGCACTTCACTGAGAGAGAGGCTATTTATAACTTAGTCACTTTAATGATTTCAGAATATCCCAGCTGTAGATGTATTTAGACAAACAGCCATAACTCATACACATATATGAGTCTCAGAAATTCTGAAGCCATTTTGAATTTCATCTTAAACATAATTATGGTTATTTCCAATTCTACACAAAATCACAAATAATTATCAAGAAGTTTACATATGTGTTACCATTTCTTGTTAATTTTAAAACCATCATGTGATAAATATACCCAGTACTTTATACATATTACCACTTATTAACATTATCTATAAAGAAAATTTTAACTCAAATTAGTTAGCTTTATGTTATATATTTCCTATATTATAATTACAGAGATTTCACAAAGATACAATAAAGGATTCATATACCCAAGAAAGTGCTTTGAGTAGAAAATGGTATTTTAAGTACAAATCTTGGCTTCTGAACATATACATTACAAAAAAAAAATCACAATTTTTAAATTTTCTGGCGATGTGTATAATTTCAAGAGAACAGATTATATGGAAAGTCTCTTCTGGAAAGGATAAATTTATTAGCTGATACCTTATCTGAAAATCTGAATGAAAACTGTATTACCTACATTGTTTATGCTATATATGAGATAATTATGTATGGGACATTTATGAACTATGTAGCATGAAGCAGTTAACATATTTCTACTTTGCCTTTTTTTTTTAAGATTTATTTATTTGTGCACACAGAACTGGGGTACAGGCCAGAGGCTCAGGAGGTGGTGAGAGGCTTCACCAGAGACAGAGCGGGGAGCAGAACAGGCAGATGAACGAATTACACCACTGAGGGGAGCAATGGGCCGGCTAAGAGAGGTCTGCAGTACCATGGCACTGGCAGGTGGGAATCAAACTTATTTGGAAGTGGCTTTAGCTTCTTAGTGCTGTGCTTTAACCTGCTGCCCCACCAGGGAGGGCCCACAGTTGCCTTTATTTATTTATTTTTAATATTTTATTTATTTATGCATACATAACTGTGGTACAGGCCAATAGTGCAGGGGTGGTAAGAGGATTCACCAGAGACAGAGTGGGGAGCAGAACAGGCAGATCAACGAAGTACACTGCTGAGGTCTGAGCAAACCAACCTCTTCCACCACCCACCCCAATAACTGAACATTAATCCTTCATTTAACAAGCAAAACAAAAAAAATCTGATCCTTGGAAGCTATTAAAGAACAGTTGTCATCATAATAGCCATAAGTAAAATACAAATATTTCAGTTACAAGTGTTGCTAAACACATAAAATCTGACTTATAATTCCTTCAAAACTTGCCTCTGGAGTTCCTAATGCTTTCACAGCATTCAGATCGGATCCCGAGGAGAAAGTATTTTTTGCTCCATGGACAATGAGACCTTTTCCCTCTGTCCAATTTTCTAATTCATTCACTTTTTCCAGAAGCTGTAACATCATAACACCTGCCAGAGAGGGAAGGAAAAATCACAAATGCATAAGCTACTAGAAAATACAAATAATTTAGAAACTGCAGGGTATAGAACTTAGGTGATTTTTTTTAATAAGATTTATTTATTTATGCATACAGAACTGGGGTACAGGCCAGAGATGCGGAGGGTGAGAGGATTCACCAGAGACAGAGCGGGGAGCAGAACAGACAGATCAACAAAGTACACTGCTGAGGGGAGCAGCGGGCGGGACAGGAGAGGTCTGCCAAGCCATGTGGATCTCTTCCGGGGCAGGCAGGAACTCATGAGGAAGTGGCTTAAGCTTTTTAGTGCTGTGCTTTTTAACCCGCTGCGCCACCAGGGAGGGCCCAGGTGATATGTTTTAAAAATATTTTCTGGATGTCTATCAAATACCTATTGTGTTGTTACTGTGGAGTAGACGCAAAAGAGATATATATGATAATCTCTACTTACAAAGTTTACAGATTAGTGATTTCTATCTGACCTATCTTAACACATTATGCAAGTATATGGCTACGTAGGAAAATGAGATATGATCATGTATGTCCTAGGAATAGGAATACTGAAACAAGTAATATGGATATAGTGGTAGGAGAAAATTAAAACAAAATACAGACCTGACTTCACAAGTATGTTAATTAACAAACTGTTTTTTTTTTGTTTGTTTATGTGAATAATATCTATTTATATTTATCACTTTGGAAATTAATATAAAAATTTCTAAATTGGCCCTCCCTGGTGGCGCAGCAGTTAAAGCACTAAGAAGCTTAAGCCACTTCCGCATGAGTTCGATCCCCTCCTGCCCTGAAGGAGACCTCTCCTGACCCGCCTCTGCTCCCCTCAGCAGTGTACTCCGTTGATCTGCCTGTTCTGCTCCCCACTCTGTCTCTGGTGAATCCTCTCACCCTCTGCATATCTGGCCTGTACCCCAGTTCTGTATGCATATATAAATCTTTTTTAAAAATTTCTAAATTACTTATTTTAAATAATGAGTAAAAACCATTACTTATTAATATAAAAAACATTTTAATGGAAAATATGTCTTCAAAACAAAAAAATTAGGGAGAAAGGTGACAGTGTTTTGTATTTTATGAATTTCTCTATTAGTTGATTCAAAAGACAGATGGATTCTCCCATCTCCTTCAGTTTTCAATTGATTGAAATAAGTAGTCTGAATCAAATTACTTAAAGGTAATTAATATTAGATACATAGTTAAAACAAAAGGAATATTTAAATAACCTTTTCACATAATTGTTAACATTCTTTTTTTTTTACACCAAAAGCTTTCAAGTGGTAATTTTTTAAGGATTTTAAAATCTGAAGCCATATCAGAGAAATTTAGTATTTGCCACATTAAAAGTCATAAATCATTTTTGTACTTTGATGGTAAACAGGCTCTGTAATGCCAACAAACCCATCACAAGAGTTATGCCTATACTCAAACTTAGTAATGCTTACCAGGAAACTATGAACTCTTAGGCTATCCTGTGCATATGGTACTCCAAACAAAGGTGCAATTCCTCACCCACTCATGTCAACTGTTAGATCAAGAAAGGGACAGTGAATATTAGCTTTTTTTTCAGTTGACTCACTGTGTTGGGAGAAGAGCAAGTCAAACTATGAAAGTGGGCTGCTGGCTGCAATAAGAAGCCTGCTAACAACCAACTCTACGGCATAGAGACTAAATGGTTACTTTGGTTTCATTACAAAATTCTTTTTTAAAAAAGATTTATTAATTTATGCATACAGAACTGGAGTATAGTCCAGAGGTGCAGGGCCAGTGAGAGGATCACCTCCGGGACAGGGGATCGAACTCCCACTGAAGAACCCTGGCCAGCTTCGCAGTGGTATGATTGAACCCGCTATGCTACCAGGGAGGGCCTCATTCCAAAATTCTATCAGAGCTTTTGTAACGGGAAAGTTTAAAAAGCAAATAGAAAGAACTATCATTGTTTATCTGTGACTATCTTTTAAGTAAATGGCAGTAATAATATTCTCAATATTTATACTTTCCTCTGCCCTAATGCCAATACAAAGATCATAATGGAAGATTGAAATTGGCAAAGAATCTGTACCACAAGATTCTAAAATTTACAACACAGATTGCATTAAACTCTGTATACTCCCTTGGTACATAAATCCAAACATGCCAAGAACAACTACTTTTTCTCTCATTTTCTAAAATAACCATAGTGGAGTGGTTCTACAACAAATGTTAAATTAATACTGCCACCAATGACTTAATGCAGCCAACCTTCCTAATGCTAATTATGCCCTTTATGTAGCATAAGATGCCCTTTAAGTTTTAAAACTACAATTTGTGCTCTTAAAAGATTTATAGCTTTTTATCAAAAGCCATGTGTGTGTAAACTATATAGATAAACAGAGACCTTCTGTTTCCTAATATTAAACAAACAAACAAAAAAGCCTCTGGCCTTGAGTATGAGAAATCTCCAACTCAAACTCTATACCAGTAGTGAACCTTCACCTCATCTTTTTGGCTCTGTAAAATAAACATAAGAAATGGAAAGCAGGCTCTTCTTGATGGTGCTGCAGATTAGGACGCAGCACTGCAAGCCAGACACAGCTGCTTCAGTGCGAGTTCGATCCCTGCCTAGGTCCGGGAGGTGATCCACGTGGCGCAGGAGACCTCGCATGTCTCACCTGCTGTCCCTCAGCAGTTTACTTCATTGATCTGCTGATTCTGCTCCTCACTCTGTCTCTGGTGAATCCTCTCACCACCCCTGTACCCTTTGGCCTGTACCCCAGTTTTAAATGAATAAATAAACCTAAAAAAAAAAAAAGGAAGGCAACTTAAAGAGAAAAGGTTTTGAGGGCTGGCTGTGTAACACAAGGTTCATTCATCACATCCCAACCAGACACCGGTACCCAAACCAAAGCGTCTTGGTTTTTATTCATTTTTAATATTAGGCATCAAATTAATTACTGTATCACATTTCACTTTACTGCACTTCACTGATACTGCATTTTTTACAAACTAAAGGTTTGTGGTAACCTTGCAACCAGCAATTTATTGGGGCCAGTATTCTGACAATAAGTACTCACTTGGTGTCTGTCTCACATTTGCTAATCCTGGCAACACTTTAAGCTTTTTCATTATTATTTTTAGTGTGTTATAGTGATATGTGATCAGCATTCTTTGATGATACAAGTAGGATTTTGGGGGGCAACATTAACTGCACCCACATGAGAAATCCAAATTAACTGATAAATGTTGCCTGTGTTCTGACTGTTCTACTGACTGGTCATTCCCTGCCTCTCTCCCTCTCCTCAGATTTCCTAATTCCCTGACACAGAACAATCTTGATATCAGGACAATTTATAACTCTACAATGGCCTTTACGTATTCAAGTGAAAGGAAGAATCGCAGAATTCAACTCAAAAGCTAGAAAAGATTAAGCTTAGTGCAAAAGGCATATCAAAAGCCAAGGAAGGACAAAAACTCACCCTTTAGACCAGTTAGCCAAGTCTAGAATGCAAAAACAAAGTTCTTGAAGGCCACTGACAGTGCTATTGCAGTGAGCACATGAAAGATGAGAAACTAAAAGCCTTATAAATAAAAGATGGAAGTAGTCACAACATTCCCCAAGCCAAAGCTTAATCCAAAGTAAGACTGCACTTCTCTTTAATTTTATGAGATCTCAGAGAGAATGGGGAAACTGTAAAAAAGTTGGAAACCAGCAGAGGTGGGGTCATGGAAGCCCTCTCCATTATGTAAAGCGCAAGGTGAAATAGCCAGTGCTGCAACAAATTGTCCAGAAGATTTAAAGATTTATTTATTTATGCATCTGGAACTGGGGTAAAGGTCAGAGGTGCAGGAGGTGACAGGAGTCCCCAGAGGCAGAGTGGGGAGCAGATCAGGCAGACTGAGTGAAATATACTGCTGAGGGGAAGCAGCAGGCAGGCCAGGAGAGATCTGCCTGCCAGGTGAGTCACATTCCAGGCTGGGAAGCAAATTCATGCTGCAGTGGCTGTGGTTAGCTTCTTAGGGCTGTGCTTTAACCCCTGTACTGCCAGGGAAAGTCCTCTCCAGAAGATTTTAGCTAATGTCACCGATGAAGGTGGTGATGCTAAGCCACAGATTTTCAAGGTAGACAACAGTCTACAGTAGAGAATGTCATCCAGAACTTTTTGTAACTTTTTGTAACCAGGAACAGATCAATGCCTGGCTTCAAAAAGTCAAAGGACAGGTGCTCTTAGAGGGGTTAATGCAGCTGGTGACTTCAAACTAAAGACAATCCTCAGAAACACACTGAAAATCCTACAGTCCTTAAGTCTATTCTGCCCTGTGTCCTATAAGTGCAACAATAACGCTTGGGGACAGCTCCTTGTTTACGTGGCTTACTGAGCATTTTAAGTCCATTGTTCATACCTACTGTTTTGGAAAAAAGACCTGCTTCAAAATATAACTGCTCAATGATTAATGTACCTGGTTGCCCTGAAGGAGAAATATAAAGTCATTCCTGTAAACACTATACCCATTGAAGCCCATGGATCAAAGAGTTCAACTTTCAAGTATTACTACTTAATAAATACATTTCTTAGCTATTTTTTCTGCCACAAATAATGATTTCTCTGACATAACTGTGCGAAATCAGTTGAAAATTTTCCGGAAAAGATTTACATTCCAGGGCCCTCCCTGGTGGCGCAGCAGGTTAAAGCACAGCACTAAGAAACTAGAAGACACTTCCGCATGAATTCGACTCCCCACCCACCCTGGAGGTGATCCATATGGTGCAGCAGACCACTCCTGACCCATCCCCTGCTCCCCTCAGCAGTGTACTTGGACGATCTGCTGTTCTGCTCCCCACTCTGTCTCTGGTGAAGCCTCTCACTGCCCCTGCACCTCTGACCTGTACCCCAGTTCTGCATGCACAAATAAATAAATCTTTAAAAAAAAAAAGATTTACATTCTAGATGCTAGTAACAACATACGTGATCTGTGAGGAGAACACAAAATATCAACATGAACAGGAGTTTGGAAGAAGTTGATGCCAACCCTTATGGGTAAATTCTGAGGGATTCAAGACCAGTTATGGTGAAACAGCAAGAGAACTAGAATTAGAAATAGAGCTGGGACATATGACTGAATTGCTGGAATTTCATAGCAAAACTTGTATGGATGAAAAGTTGCTTCTTATAGATGAGCAAAGAAAAGTTTCTTAAGGTTTAATCTATTCCTGCTGAAGATGCTACCAACATTGTTGAAATAACAACAAAGGATGTTATATACACTTAGTCTATAAAACAGCAGCAGGGTTTGAGGAGACTGATTTCAATTTTAAAAGAAGTTCCACTAAGGGTAAAATGCCATCAAACAGAGACACCACATAGAAATCTTTCTTAAGTAGGTCAATTGTTGCCTGATTTTTAAAAATTGTTAGAACCTCACCCACATTCAGCAACCCAACACACTGTCAGTCAGTCAGCAGCCACCAATTGGCCTTTAATCCCTGAATCAACTGAAGCATTGCCAAAAACATACAATAAGTAATCACAATCATATATGAGAACCTGAAATATGGCTAGCCCAAACTCAAAATACACACTAAATTTAAACACAAAATACATACTAGATTTCAAAACTTGGTTGAAAACAAAGGGAAAATTCCTCTTAATTTTTCATATCAGCCACATGTCTAAATATTTTTAATATATTGAATAAAAACTATTACCAAAATTAATTTTTAATTAATTTCATTTTGCTTTTAAATTATATGACTACTAGGAAATGTTAAATTACACATGTGACTTACATCTATGTCTTATTTCCATTGGTAAGCAGTGATAGATAATCTGAATTCTGTTGAGTAGAAAGAAATTAATCTTGGATTTAAAGATCCAAATTGTGAATTTATAAAATTGATAATGTACTGAACTGTGCCCATATGCATGATTATACATAAAGTAGACTCATGAAAATTTCAGATAACTTTGAGTCAAATATTTCAAATGCTATTCAAGAATGTAAGTCACTACCCTCTCTCCCCATGATCTATATATCACTGACAGAGAGAGATTACCAAAACCACATTGACATGTGAGTGCTGGAAAGACAACACAATTAATCTTTAGCTCTTGTACAACATTATCATGAAACAAGTCAAATTTGGGCTTTGGCAAAAAATTGTATACAAACTATCCCATATTCTAGACATGCAGATTCTTACAAATCAAGAATCTTGCTTACCGAAGGTAAGTTACTTAAGAGTATCTAAGAGTTAGGAAAGAGCCCCCAAATAGGCAAGCGCAGAGTATTCACTGACTACTGAAATTACATGGTTAAAAGCTGTTAGTCTTATTTCAGTTCACAGAAAAATTTTAAGCTATTTTTTTCATTTACAGGTTTTTCTCTTTATTTAAAAATCTTTGAAATCTTCTTCTCCTTGTCTTCCAGTGACATTAGCTGAAACCAAGCAAATAAAATTTTGAAATGTTTGCCATATTTCAATGAAAAATTATTAAGATTAATTTGAGCTTCCTTTTTATTAACATCTACTGATATATTTACGAATTTCTAAAAATCATTTAAAATATTAACAATGAGTAAAAAGCATGTCACAGGTTCATGTAATAAAAGCTTTTTGTTTTGTTCTGTTTTTTTTCACAATCTACAATGAGTACATACATTCTGTCAGCAAAGTATGAATGAAAATCATGTGATGTCAAGTTAAATTTAGTGTCATTCATTAACTAGTAAAAGAAAAGTCTCTAGTACCTGAGAAGGCATTCATTTTGCTTGGGTTGTTCAGAGTAAGAATGCCAATGCCATTGTCTTTCTTCAGAAGGTCAACGGATCCCCCAGGAAACTGTAGAAGTTTTTTTTTAATCTCTTCCTCATGGAAGCCATGTGATGTACTATAAAGTGACAATCCTGTTTGATGGAGCAATTTTGCCCTTACAGATATGGAAGATGACTTCAAAAGATTACTTGCCATTTCTGGAAAAGAGAAGTAAGTATGTCATAGTTCAGATGAACAGTCACTTTCCTAATATTATGTCAGTAGACTTGTTTAATTACAAGTACTTTCTCACTTCCACAAGTATTCTTTAAGAATGCCAATATGGAATTCCTCCCCCACCCTCTTCTCAAACCAAATAGTTAGCAAAGTATATCACTTCACTATATATAGCATTAAGAGAGATCTAACAATCATTCCTAGGATACAATACACCTGGCAGGTTTAAAGATTGTTGCTGCTTTGAATTGAGCAGCCTCCAGGTACTCTTTCTCATGACAGCAGCTATGATCCTGCAACTCTTGAACATTTCCAAAATCTAAGAATAAATTCGATCCAATGTCCCCTTGGACATAGTCTATTTGCAGAAATGCTAGAAGAGCAATCCCACTCTCCAAAAGTTTTCCTTAGCATGATTCTTACTGTCTACAATGCTTTCATAGAAAAAGCTAGAAGAGGTCCTGTGAAAAGAAACAGGTGTGTGTGTGTGTGTGTGTGTGTGTGTGTGGTGTGTTTCTGGGGATTATACATCCCAGGCAATTTTATCTTTGCTCATAGGCTCTTTATGTCCTGTGTAAACATTTTTGTTAGCATTTTAATGTGAAACACACATATATACAAATCCTAAGTTACAGTTCAATGACTTTTCACAAGGTAAATACAATCAAGTGAATGATACCCAGAACAAGAGAAAGAACATGAGCCACATTTGAGTCACAACTCCAAACAAGGTTAACAACTATCCTGACCCACAATCCACCAGATTATATATTACCATTATATTCTTTGAAAAAATATAGTATATACTCTTCTGTGTCTGGGTTCAACTGTGATTTTAACATCCATTACTATTACTATGATGGAGTCCAAAATTTCATTGTTCTTATAGTTGTATTTTACTATATGAATAAACAATTTATCTAGATAATTGGAGTTTTTCTTGTTTTTGGCAATAAAAATGCTATAAACATTTTAATATATTATTTTGAGTCAATATTTATGCCTCTCTATGACTATTTAGCTAGAAAGGGAATCAGTAGGTTAACTGCAATCAATTTACTATATCAAACACTGAAAAATTTTACAAGTTATTTTGTTAAGCCATTGGCAACTTGACATTAGCCACAGATAGGAAGCTATCAGCTCTCCTTCATACACACATACACACACACACACAAGCACACACATATGCAACCATGCATACAACCTTATTACCAGTATACCACTGGGCATAATATCTGCATCTACTCATCCAAATTTAAAAGATAATAGTGGTTTTTAAAACAGTTGGAACCAATATAACCTAATAACCTCCATAGCTAGTTGCTAAACAGATTTATTATTACTTGCTAATGTTTGTTTCATTTCCATTTGAGGCATTCTAAAAAGTGACACCTCGGCCCTCCCTGGTGGTGCAGCGGGTTAAAGCACTGCACTGAGAAGCTTAAGCCACTTCTGCATGAGTTCGATTCCTGCCTGCCCTGGAGGTGACCACAGGGCGTGGCAGACCTCTCCTGACCCGCCCGCTGCTCCCCTCAGCAGTGTACTTCGTCGATCTGCCTGTTCTGCTCCCCACTCTGTCTCTGGCAAAGCCTCTCGCCACCCCTGAGCCTCTGGCCTGTACCCCAGTTCTGTGTGTACAAATAAATCTTTAAAAAAAAATTTAAAAAAAAAAGTGAACACCTCATTGTAGCTCCACTTTGCACTTCTGTGATGTTTAATAAAGTCACACTCCATTTTTATGTTTCCAGGCTATTTGCATATCACCTTTTGTGAAGTGCCTATTCAAATTTTTGCCCATTTTTTCCTACTTTTTTTAACCTGTTATTGATTTGTTAAAGTCATTTGCCTATATCTTTTTCTAAAACCCATAAAGCAATTTCTACATTTCCATCTCTAGTTGAGACCTTACGCTTGTGTACTCCCAACTCACACAGAAACTTATCTCCATACGGCCCTCCCCGGTATTGCAATGGGTTAAAGCAAGGCACTACAAGTGAGCTGCAGCCCCTTCAGTAAGTTCGCTCCCCAGCACCAGAGGTGATCCCGAAGGAGCTACAGACCTCTTCAGTCTCACCCGCTGATCCACTCAGCAGTGTACTCCTGTCATGTTCCCCACTCTGTCTCTAGTGAAGCCTCTCACTGCTCCTGTATCTCTGGCCTGCACCCCAGTTCTGTATGTATGCATTAATAAATAAATCTTAAAAAAAAAAAAAAAAGGTTCAGAAATGTATCTCCTTACACCTCAACTCTAGAGGCACTAAAAGCTTCTCAGAGCCATGGTCTGGACCTGATATGAGAACTTAATGCTTCTCAGAAAACCTACTGCTCTTCCTTCATTCCTTCCTACCTTTAACTGTTCATAGTATTATCAACTCAACAAACCACACCAGAAAACCTACAGATCAACCCAATTCCCTTTCCTCCCTTACTTCCCATATGCCACCTCCTTCTAAAATGGCATCTTTGGGGGGACCTCCCTGGTGGTGCAAAGGGTTAATTCTATGCACTATGAAGCAATCTGCAGTCACTGACTGTAGTGGCTGGCCTGGGAACTGACCCACATGTAGCAGCAGACCTCTCCGGTCTGGCCCACTGTTCCCATCAGCAGTGTATTTCAGTAGTTCTGCTTATTCTGCTCCACCCATTGTCTGTGGTAAATCTTCTCATACCCTGTATCACTAGCCTACACCCCAGTTCTTGTATACATAAATAAATAAAAATAAATCTTTAAAAAGATCTACTGAAGAAACTTGCTAAGGGCTTGCAATGTTATGTTTTTTAAAAGTTGCCTATTTTCCTCAATACTGTTAAGGAAAAGTACAGTTTAACTAAAAAAAAAAAAAG